AGGAGGATCACAGTTTGAGATCAGCATAGACAAATCACACAAGATCCTACCTGAAAAATAACTAAAACAAAAAGGTGGAGGGTGTGGCTCTAGCATGTAAGGCCTTGAGTTTAAACCTCAGTAACACAAAAAAATTATGTCAGAGATGATAAATATTTAAAGTGGGCTTATCAGTGAGAAAAGCAAAAGATAAATGGCAAATGACACTTTACTTCAATGTCCAGCAAGTAATTGGTTACAGTGAGAACCCTGATGAACATGTGTATACACATACTGCTTTCTATCCTCTAATCAGAGGAAGTAGATGAGACTCAACTCCAGATAACTTCCTATGTCACCTTTAAGAATTTCAAGAAGGGGGCTGGTGGAATGACTCAAGCAGTAAAAGCACCTGCCTATCTAGTTAGAGGTTTGAGTCCCTGAGTTCAAACCCCAGTGCTGACAAAAAAAAAAAAAAGAAAAAAAAAAGAATTTCAAGAAGTATAGAACATGGCTCGGTAAAACAGAAAAGAAAAATGTCTGTTACCTGATATATATGGTACACAGAAAAGTGTATGGACCTTTATTGACATTGAGGAGTCACCAAGGAATCCTATTGAGTAAGGAAGTGAAAAGATTGGGTTTGTGTTGCATAGAAATGACTTAGCAGCAATGTAGAGAATTGAGAAGATAGGAAAACTCACGAGACCTAGCGATGTAGATAGGAGGCTCTCATAATATATCATGAAGGAAATGAGGAAGAATTGAAATAATACTAAAATATTTAGGATAGAAAAACAAGAGGCAAGAGATATACTCAAGAGATGGTTAAGAGTGAGCTGATACAATTGAAAGAAATAAGTCTCAGAGAACATGGCATACTACATCAGTACAAAAGGTATGTAGCAGAGAAACAGTAATGTATAAATTAAGGTATATCATTTTTATGGTTACCAGTAATGTTTGTACCTATGTGAATGATTGCTGAGAAACCTGCAAAACTATAACACATATGAAGACAAATCTAGTAAACAAACACATGATTGGAATAGAGGTCCATGATATTAGGTAAACAGGAAATCATCATGAAAGTCATTAGAATTTCTAACAGAGTAAAAATAATCGACAGTTCCAAATGCAAAAAGATGACAACAAAGATAAAAAAAGAACTGATTTTGATAATGAGAAGTAAAGGAGTAATCTTTGAAAAAATAGTCAACATCATTGTGTCAACCTGGCATTGAAGGCAGCTGTAGTGGCTTATAAAGATAGTTGAAAAAGGAAATGCAAATGTGAATGTTACTGTGTCATGGACCTTGGAAAGCACAAAAGAAAACAAAATAAGTTCTAAAACGCACTGAAAATACTTTCCAGGTGGTCATTACATTTCTCTGTATGTGTAGAAAAGGTGAAATGTGGATATGAAAGAAAAACAAGAAAAAGATGATTTAAAAATTCTTATTGTTAATCACACTTGTTGACAAGGTGGCAAACTCATGAAAATTTTAGTCATATTTCAATATAAATCAACTGTTTTAAGTGAACATTAATAGTTAAGATGTGAGAAATACAACATAAGGTATTCAGAAACTACCAAAGGCTGAATCTGTGAAAAGTCACAATGTCAGTTTTGTTGGATTTTCTATAAACCTCATTGTGATTAATCTAGGTTAAATTTTCCTTCCCTGCATTCTTATGGCAAAGTGTGCTTACCCAGGTCATAGCCCTTATTGTATTCCATAGTAATAGCTTATGTAATATCCCGGATGTCTCGTGTTTTAATTCATCAGTTGCCAGAAGACAGCCTGGAGCAATGTCCTTTGCATGATGAATGGGATGAACAGATGAATGAATGTGAAAGGAAACTGTTCAGAGGAGACCAGTGGGAAAGATGGTGATCCTCTGACACTCTAGGAAGAGCAAGACGGAGTTGTAATTTTATGAGAGCAATGAGATATGAAGAATAATCAAAGATGGACCATTTAGAAATGTGTACAAAAGAAAATATAGATGTTAATGAGTCACCAGAAACCTCAGCAATTGTATCCTAGTGGAATGCTAAAAAAGGAAAAGTATCTATTAAAATACGGAAATCATATGGACAGACAATTCATAAGAAAAGAATTATGAATGAATTAAAAGCATATAAGATATTTGATTCCAACACTATACCAGAGAATTGCAAAATAAAACAGCATGATAACATTTTTGTATTTCAAAAAACTAGGGCTTTCAAAATTAGGGCTTTGTATTATAGAAGTAGCAGCTTATCTTTTCATATTTATTGAGGTTTGTTGACCGTACCTAAATTAATTTCAGCAATCCTACTTCCATGTGTTCTATGTTGTCTTTTATACCTTTATATCACTATAAAATGAAATTATCTAAGGAAAATTGAAACATAAATTATAATACAAGGATACTATGCCATATGTAGCTATATAGTTATTTTTAAAATTTTAATAGGGCTTGAGATATTGCTTAGTGTTAGAACATTTGCCTACCATGGTTGAGGCCTTGGGTTCATCTGGCCTCTGGACCAGATATAGTAGAAGTATACATCTGGACCAGAAAAACATCAGTGACCTTTGAAAAAAAATACAAAAAATATCCATAGTATGAATGACTCCATTTGGAAAAATATACTTAACCCATAGAAATATGCATAAATGTGCATGTGTCTAGAAAGTGCAACAATGAGCTGATAGCAATGGCCAAGAGGCAAGATTTTTTTTACAATGTTTAAAACTCTATTTGTGATTTTACCTCATTTTTAGTGGGCAATTTAAACATGTTGGAAAATTTGTATTGTTGCATTCTGTATAATGTTATGTTTAATCTAACTTAAAATGAAAATAAAGAATGCAGATAAAGATTTTTAAAAATAGGTGTAATTCCTAATTAATTCCTAAGTTAAAGCAAAAGAAAAATTCAATATCCATGAATCATCAGGCTTTTAAAGAATTAGTGGACAAAGTTCAGCATGTTATTTTAGGAAATATGTCCTTTTGGCAAAACCATCAGAATCAGGGTTATGGAGCTTGTGAATATGTAAACAGCTCATAGATCAGATTGTGACTGAAGGGATTCATGCTTGTATTTTGTTATAAAGTTCAAATTGGAAGCTGTTCAGGCAGAAAACTAATAGAAATGGGTGATAGCTAATTAACCTAAGGCGTCAAACTAATTTCTCTGCAAGAAGCAATTTAAAAGAGACCTTTATTTTTATATTTATTTCTTTTTGAAAATCATAAAATGCCCTATTTGACTTTTGGTGCAGGAGCAAAAATATATATGAATATATGTAAATATTGATTTTTAAACCATCTGATCCAAACTCTTGGTAAGTTTTTTTAAAGGGCAAAATAATAACAAGAACTTTGCTTCATATCCCAGGATTAAGGTTTTGCTACATTGTGTAGATAACAGGAGTAGATCATTGAGCTAAGTGTGGATCAAAGGATAGGCTTGTTTTATTGAGCCAGACATGGGGTACAGTCCTTATCACCAGTCATTAATGTCAACTACACCCAAGCATGCAGATGTTTTTTGTTTTTCTGGGAATTTTTTATTAGGATATATTTCTTGTATGAGGGGGAGTCATCGTGACAATTCTGAATAGCCTTATATTGTACATTTGTTAGATCATATCTACCATCTTCTCTGCAACCCCTTCCCACCCCACTTAAAGCAATTAATTGCAAGAGGTTTCATCATTCTACTTAATATATGCATATGAAGCCCATCAACCATATTCCATAACCTTCACCTCCTCCATTCACACAACCTCCTTCCACAAGTACGTATTTTACACTGCACACTGCACACTGTACCTATTTTACAGTCCTGTCTTTCGTTATTAATTCCAAAGTCAATGTTCAAAGCGGTTTCCCTTAGCATCTCCACTGTGAGTATTCTTTACTTTGGTTCATTCAACCCCTTCCATTACTCTCCCTCACCCCTTTCTCCCCACTTCCCATTATTCAACATCTTTCAATAAATATTGTTGTATCGATTATTTGCACAGATGTAATGTATTTCCATATTGTTGGCTACCATTCTCTTTTCCTTTACCTCCTCCCCAGTTCCATAGAGAAGTTCCACTATAACAAACATAAATGTGTTTAGCAGAGAAGTGAATTCCCAAGCAAAAACAAGACTCTGTTATGAAGAGAGTGTAGAATGAATGTACACCATTCAAAATTAGCCTATATCTGCCACAATCTACAACTCTCTTGCTTTTTAAAAATACTCATATCTACATATGCAAATAAACAAATGCCCCAAATAATATTTTAAGTTTTTTAAGCATCTCCATGCTAGACCTTCCAGAGAACTAGCGCAGAAATTGTTAATTTAACACCACTGCTTCCAAAGGATCCTTGTAGTTAATATATCTTCTTCCCAACTTTAGGGCTTACTCTGGTGCGGTTAATTTAGGATTATGCACAAACTTCATGGAACACTATTATCAAAATTAAAACAATTACATAGACATTTATAAAAGTCCTTCCTCTAAAACCAGAGGAGACAAATTTTCATAAAAGACATGAGTCACATGGTAGAGACGTGTGTATGCCAAAAAGCATGCTTTGCCAGAAACAGGCACAATCAGTTTTTTGAGGCTCAGTATGCATACTACAACCATTAAATTTTTAATGTAATTAGTTTCCATAACATGATTGGAAACTACTTGAAGAGCGCATGATCTAGAATTGTGTGTTAGAACACACAACTGATAATGAATCAAGTAGACAGGATGCTTTATTTCATTAATGAATTGATAATCATTAACCTCAATTTGATGAATGTTATTTCCAATTATTTGTTACTTACATCTTACATATTTTACTTATGTGTGTATGTATATACATATATGAAACACCCATCTCTTAAAATGTCTTTTACAAAATTCTTATTAATGTCAACATAAAAACAAAAGACTTTTCAAACTAATGTTTCCTAGATTGTGTTTTTGTTTTATATAATATTAACATCTGTTTATTTATCTTTCATTGCAGGATTTATTTATACATGCGGTGGAACTTTAAAAGGACTTAATGGCACTATCGAAAGCCCAGGTTTTCCATATGGATATCCAAATGGTGCAAACTGTACCTGGGTCATAATAGCAGAAGAACGAAATAGAATACAAATTGTTTTTCAGTCCTTTGCACTAGAAGAAGAATATGACTACTTATCCTTGTATGATGGACATCCTCATCCTACAAACTTTAGGACAAGGTTAGTGTATTTTGAATGGAAGAAGGGAGGTAAAATATTTTATGGGTAAAACTAGCTTGTTTAACAAAGAATGTTTTACACATGATGTGATAGTAATGAAGTCATATTGAATATATAAGTAGTATTCATTTGATAAATATTTTTACATTTCTAAAATCCTAATACTAGCACATTGCTAATATCTCTCAACAGGTGGATGCAAATTGAATTGTGACCTCTTTAGAGTGGCTAAAAGTATTTGGGTTTTAAATGACTTATCTCAAGGTCTCATCATTGGCATCATTTCTGGCAAAATGAAAGCATATCGATGCATTTTTTGATGGTTTGTATCCAACCTAAAATACAGAAATATACAAACTATTTTAAATTCAATAAATATATATTAGAATTTTCTGCTATCTGCTAATTTCAGATAATGTAGGTAAATATTTGAACAGTATAGCCTTTTACATCACAAAATGGAACATCTACATTTCTGCCACTATAACATGAAAAAACATTAGTTTTGAAAATTGCGTAAGTTTACCATCTTCCTATTATTACAGTGGTTCTTTTATAATTCCACTTTGGCAAATAGTTTATTTAAAACTATGAAGTATGTTTGCTATCTTAGCAAAAACTCACTGTAATTAATCAAAAATCAATCATAACTGAAAAAATTCAGCATGTCAAGTATTACATTCCATTTAATCCAGGATATATACTTGTACTTAGTTATTCTTTTATGTAGTAAAATTGTTTTGAACTTCCAACTTAAAATATTTTTAGCATGTAACATGCAGGAAATTCAAGACTCTACACTCGGGCATGTCTATGACACTGTAATTCTGTCACAGCTGATACTTCCTGCTCGACAGACAGCACATGATCAACACTATGGTTTTACAGTTTTATCTTCCAATATCTTTTACATTGATTTTTTTTTCATTTGAAATAAAATGATTACTACTATGCTCCCTTTTAGTACTGAAAAACATAATATAGTACTTTTAGTACTGAAAAACATAATATAGTAGATAAAATGGTGGAACCAGAGGAAATATTTACACAATAATGTAGGTTTGTTACTCACCAGTTGTTGGGGCAATCCATGCCACCTGCGCTTAAACTGGGAGTGGAAATAATGAATGGATATTACCCATCTCACCCTACTCTTCTGACAACCTTAGAGCAAACATGTAAAAAACAGGTAATTAGTATAAAATCTTATTAGTATGCATTTTAACTGTTTCTATTCAGAATGACAGTTGAAAACACTTGAGTTGTTTAAACTACATGTTGATGCCAAGAAAACCTTAGTAGCTTGATAAGATATGAAGTTCTGTTTTTCGTTCATTTTTTCTTTTTTTCTGCATGGATATACTGAATATTTCTGATTTCTTCCTCATTATACATTATTCAGCAGTTATATGTTTAAGAATATAGTGTATAGCATACATTTCTGACAGTGTTCTTTCATCATCATGGGAAATATTACTAAAAGCTGGATATCTTTTGCTTTTGACATGCACTAATTCAAAATAGAATATATGGATCCCTGTGTGACTGCGTGCTTGTCAGAACTAGAGTATGTGTGTATGTGTATGTGAGTGTGTTTGGGGGGATTCTACCTGTATCTGTACATAGTAAATCAGATTATAGGCTGTAAGAGAAGAAGGATCATCCTAGAGTTTCAAGGCTGCTGAAAACAAATGTATAAAAGTGAAGAGAGTTTTGTACCTTTTTTTTTACATCAGCAATGTATGCTTCACTCTTGGTATAGAGAAAAAAAGAATCACTCCTCTCATATGTGTCTGGTAGATTTTATAAAATCACTGATAGCTTTATTTGTACATGTATCTATTCCCCTTGAAAATGATAAAACATATTATCATTTTACCTCTGCCTTTTGTATAAACAGTTGTGGGCTCTTGGATGTTAGAAGACTTCGTGAAATTTGGATAATTAATTTAATATTCTTTTTCTTCCTTATTAATCTGAAAATAAGAAATAACCGCACATAAATTATAGAGTTTTTTTGAGGATTATAACATAATTAAAGCTCAGTAAATCTAACTCTAGGCACTTACTGAGTAATCCCTGTGTACCTGACACTGTGCTAAGAATTATTTTATTTTCATTACAGTTTTTAATGTCTCCTCTTCCCAAACATTGTGAAATAATTACTATTGCTAACATAATCATTTTACAACTGGAAAAGTCAAGGCTCAATTATGTGCCTAAAGTTTTACGTGGCTGAAAGTAGAAGGTAGGACCATCATTGCAAAACAAATTTATCTCAATCCAGAGTATAAATGCTTAACTATATATATTTAAGGTTCTGTACAAACCTTATAGTTTATATACTGATGTATGGATTAAAGCCTATTTTTCTTAGTAAGAAGTGTTTGATAAAATATGATGAATGAGATAAACCATACAAATATTTTCAAATGCCTGTAATATGCAATGATATCAACAGAAAGATAAACTTTAAATGGATTATTGGTATTTGTTTTATTTTTTTTATTATTTTAATATTCATATGTGCATACAAGGCTTGGGTCATTTAACCTTGCCCCCACCCCCTCCCTTATCACACACTCCCCTCCTCCCTCTCCCCCCCCTCAATACCCAGCAGAAACTATTTTGCGCTATTTTCTAATTTTGTTGTAGAGAGAGTATAAGCAATAATAGGAAGGAACAAGGGTTTTTGCTGGTTGAGATAAGGATAGCTATACAGGGCTGACTCAAATTTATTTGCTGCGCATGTGTGTTATGTTCTAGGTTAATTCTTTTTGATATAACCTTTTCTCTAGTTACTGGTCCCTTTTTCCTATTGGCCTCAGTTGCTTTTAAGGTATCTGCTTTAGTTTCTCTGCATTAAGAGCAACAAATGCTAGCTAATTTTTTAGGTGTCTTACCTATCCTCACCCCTCCCTTGTGTGCTCTCGCTTTTATCATGTGCTCATAGTCCAATCCCTTTGTGTTTGCCCTTGATCTAATGTCCACATATGAGGGAGAACATACAAGTTTTGGTCTTTTGGGCCAGGCTAACCTCACTCCGAATGATGTTCTCCAATTCCATCCATTTACCAGCGAATGATAACATTTCATTCTTCTTGATGGCTGCATAAAATTCCATTGTGTATAGATAGCACATTTTCTTAATCCATTCGTCAGTGGTGGCATCTTGGCTGTTTCCATAACTTGGCTATTGTGAATAGTGCCGCAATAAACATGGGTGTGCAGGTGCCTCTGGAGTAACCTGTGTCACAGTCTTTTGGGTATATCCCCAAGAGTGGTATTGCTGGATCAAATGGTAGATCAATGTTTAGCTTTTTAAGTAGCCTCCAAATTTTTTTCCAGAGTGGTTGTACTAGTTTACATTCCCACCAACAGTGTAAGAGGGTTCCTTTTTCCCCGCATCCTCGCCAACACCTGTTGTTGGTGGTGTTGCTGATGATGGCTATTCTAACAGGGGTGAGGTGGAATCTTAGTGTGGTTTTAATTTGCATTTCCTTTATTGCTAGAGATGGTGAGCATTTTTTCATGTGTTTTTTGGCCATTTGAATTTCTTCTTTTGAGAAAGTTCTGTTTAGTTCACTTGCCCATTTCTTTATTGGTTCATTAGTTTTGGGAGAATTTAGTTTTTAAGTTCCCTATATATTCTGGTTATCAGTCCTTTGTCTGATGTGTAGATGGCAAATATTTTCTCCCACTCTGTGGGTGTTCTCTTCAGTTTAGAGACCATTTCTTTTGATGAACAGAAGCTTTTTAGTTTTATGAGTTCCCATTTATCTATGCTATCTCTTAGTTGCTGTGCTGCTGGGGTTTCATTGAGAAAGTTCTTACCTATACCTACTAACTCCAGAGTATTTCCTACTCTTTCCTGTATCAACTTTAGAGTTTGGGGTCTGATATTAAGATCCTTGATCCATTTTGAGTTAATCTTGGTATAGGGTGATATACATGGATCTAGTTTCAGTTTTTTGCAGACTGCTAACCAGTTTTCCCAGCAGTTTTTGTTGAAGAGGCTGCTATTTCTCCATTGTATATTTTTAGCTCCTTTGTCAAAGATAAGTTGGTTATAGTTGTGTGGCTTCATATCTGGGTCCTCTATTCTGTTCCACTGGTCTTCATGTCTGTTTTTGTGCCAGTACCATGCTGTTTTTATTGTTATTGCTTTGTAATATAGTTTGAAGTCAGGTATTGTGATACCTCCTGCATTGTTCTTTTGACTGAGTATTGCCTTGGCTATTCGTGGCCTCTTGTGTTTCCATATAAATTTAATGGTAGATTTTTCAATCTCTTTAATGAATGTCATTGGAATTTTGATGGGAATTGCATTAAACATGTAGATTACTTTTGGGAGTATAGACATTTTTACTATGTTGATTCTACCAATCCATGAGCATGGGAGCTCTCTCCACTTTCTATAGTCTTCCTCAATCTCTTTCTTCAGAAGTGTATAGTTTTCCTTGTAGAGGTCTTTCACATCTTTTGTTAGGTTTACACCTAGGTATTTGATTTTTTTTGAGGCTATTGTAAATGGAATTGTTTTCATACATTCTTTTTCAGTTTGCTCATTGTTAGTGTATAGAAATGCTAATGATTTTTCTATGTTGATTTTATATCCTGCTACCTTGCTATAGCTATTGATGATGTCTAGAAGCTTCTGAGTAGAGTTTTTTGGGTCTTTAAGGTATAGGATCATGTCATCTGCAAATAGGGATATTTTGACAGTTTTTTACCTATTTGTATTCCTTTTATTCCTTCTTCTTGCCTAATTGCTCTGGCTAGGAATTCCACTACTATGTTGAATAGGAGTGGAGATAGCGGGTATCCTTGTCTGGTTCCTGATTTTAGAGGGAATGGTTTCAGATTTTCTCCATTAAGTATAATGTTGGCTGTAGGTTTGTCATATATAGCTTTTATAATGTTGAGGAACTTTCCTTCTATTCCTAGTTTTCTTAGAGCTTTTATCATGAAATGGTGTTGGATCTTATCAAAGGCTTTTT